GAGAGTGGCAAACTGCTTCTATAGGGGAGATGCAAATTCAGACCCAAGAAATGACCCACTTAATGGAATCACTGATTCAGGTAGATTCCACGAGCTCATTTCAGGCACAGCTATGGTTGCAGTAAAAACAAAGACCACACTTGCCACATAGTGAAGGGAAGGATTCATAGTGCATTTCCTAAGATTAGGTTCTTCCACTCATACTTTGCTTTATTTTTTTTTTTTTGGTGTTGCTGGGGATCGCCAACTAAGCTATATCCCCAGCCCCCAGGTTTTACTTTTCATCTGACTAGCACTTGAGAATGGATTCTGTGGCTATGAGCATTCTCTGGGTATATCCCAACAGAAATCAAAACCCTCAGCACCACTGATTTTAGGCATGCTAATCTGAGATCCCCTGAGGAAATAAATCCCCCTATAATTACCAGGATTTCAAACTTCACACCTCCAAAAACAGTTTGGACAAATAAAAATCCTATTAAAACAAGTTTTGCTAATTAAGAGAAAATATGTAGCCCCTCAAGTGCCCCCTAAAGGTGTGTGGAACGGTGGCAATGAATGGATGTAAACAAATGGATCAGCAACTTTTCCAGCTCCCCATGGTATTTTCTTGAGTCACTTGAGGCCATCTTAAATTGTTTCCTTTCAGCCTCATGCCCCATAGCGTATGTTAGAAAAACATTAATTTTTTACATGAAACAAATGAACTAGAATTTCTGAGTTTGGGGCCCATTGGGAAGATTCAGAACCTGCAACAATTCTTTCATGTTACAACAACCTAAATTTCTTGTGTTATTTGTTCCTCTGCTCAGGTTCAACTACTCAAACTTCTAGGCTTCTAGGGAATTTCAGAATTGCAGAACTGGAATTAGATTGGGAAAATACCATCTATTTTATTCCCCCCAACCCCCGCCCCCAAGTGAGTCTTAGACCATTCTAAACAGTGGAACATTATGTCTCACTTTACTTGGAGGAAGGAACTGGAAAACTTGCATGGAAATAGCATTCTGTAGTCCTGAAGCCTCCTTGTATGCATCTGGCCTCAAGTTTATAATGTTTTGTTTACCTGGTCACTCCACGTCTTTTTACCCATGGCTTTCTCTCTAAAACACCTGCTCCAATGTAGCCAAAATGCACATTTCTGCTGGTAAGGGTCTCTATTGTATCTATTTGCTGTAGGGTAACCTCTTGTTTTTAGACTTACAAACAAAGCAAAATCAAAACAATAAGCTCCAAGGGCTCATTCAATGCTTGATGGCCCTGTCTCAGAGCTGCAGCAACAGCACCGTCAAACTGTCACCGTTCAGTAGCACTTGCCCCCAGACGCCATCCAGGTCTGCACCTGCGCAACCAGGATGGCATTGTGAGTCACTCTGTCTGCCACCACATAAAAAGCTAATTTCACATTCAGAATGTATGTTTTTCTTTCAATACCAATAGCAACAAGAGTGTGCCAAAAAATTCCCCCTGAAGCTCTATTCTGTTTTTTAAACTACAGAACATTCTTTCATAGTTTGACAGTTAAAATGCTGCAGTTAATGTAATAAACAGAGAATTTTTCTAAGTAGCCTGTCAAAACAAGTGACACTTTTTTTTTTTTTTTTTTGGCTAGCGAGTCTCAGATTCAGAACAATAGGAAGTACCTTTCAAAGCAACATCTTCATTATACAATCAAATTCTCAGAGTAATCTTCTCATCAAAGAATATTGTGTTATTTCTTTCCTAGTAATTATCAGAGTTCTGCAACCTCTCTGGCAGTGGTGACTATTATAAGATGCAGCTGTGCTGAGTTAAAGAATTGGGGGTCTTGCCCCCATTGACATGGAGCCAATGCATCTTCTGCCTCTCAATGACTTGGCAGTTTGGGCACTACGGGCTCAACATTTCCAGGGCCTTTGAACATGCCCTATTTCCAGAAGCAAACTTCTCAGCTGTCTCTTCAAGGACAGCAGTTATACTGGCAAGACTTGATCACCTAAGCTTATTTTCTTTCTACGTTAAAAAAAAAAAAGTAGGGAGCTGGGGTTGTGGCTTTGCGGTAGAGCACTCACCTAATGTGTGAGGCCCTGGGTTTGATCCTCAGCACCACATATAAATAAATAAAATAAAGGTATTGTGTCCACCTACAACTAAAAAAAATTAAAAAAAAAGGTTGTACCTTCTAAGATTACCAGCAGACCTAAAAAATAGAGTGTGTGCATATGCGTTTGCAGAGTTTGAATGTCAGTCTCACAAAATTAGATTTCTTATTTTTCACTTTACCATCTCTTGGGAGCTGTATTCCAGTAGAAAGAATATTTAAGAGTCAAAAGAAGAACGGCCAGCCTAATCCCAATGACTGCAAAATTAAAACAAAGCAAAGCAAAACTGTGAAGACAAGAAAAATCCCAAGTCTCCCCAAAATGAATCTGCCTCTTGGAATAATGGCGAAGCTGCAGTTTAACAGCCAATGCTACAGTGGGAGAGCTAAGCTTTGGAATGTAATTTTCTTTGAAGAATCTTTGGGCTGATGGGATTCATGCGATTGGATGCTGTCTGGAAAAGCAAGAAAGTTCACTGAGTCAGCCCTCAGTTAAGTGTTTGCTTCATCTGATTCTAATTTGGGAATGCCTCTCCCACTGGATTACAAACTCCCCAAAGCCAGGCATCATTGTATAATTATTATTATTTTTGCTTGTAATCTATTTGGTAGACACTCAAAGAATTGAATGGCATTTCTGCCTCCCTTGAAGCAAACAGGACTGAGGGAACATTAGCCAGGGCTGAGTATTCATTCATTCACTCACTCACTGTGCAAAGGTTTGTCAATGGCTTACTTGGTGTAAGCCCAGAGTTGGGGATGCGACGGTCTTACTATTCTATACCAGGTTAAAATCCCCATCTGCAGTGTGTTGTATTAACACACACTACATTTTCCTTTGTAGGACATAAGATGGCTGTAATTAAATGATGGCTTCCAGGTCTTAAAATCTGTTTCCTGCACTTCACGGAGCTCAGAGAAGGAGAAGCAACCTTCTTGTTCTCTGGTTACCTTAATTAGCCTTAGCAACCTAGCATAGTGTCTGGAACAAAGTAGGTATTCAATAAACACTGGTGAAAAACTAACTAAATCAAGTGAAATGAGATTTGTCTTTGCCTTTAAGAAACTCCGTTTATTGCAATGTTTCTCAACAGGACATTATTTTCAGGGTAGATCCTCTCTTTATTTGGGGCATCATCCCGTGTTCGGCACCTTTTGGTCCCAGCCTTTGCCCAGTGAATATCAGCACTGTGCCCACTCATGTACTTTGACAACCAAAACATCTTCACACATTCCCAAGTGCTGGGGAACATCCTATCCCTGCATCAGGACCACTGCATGATGGTGACTTGAAAAAAGGTGACAAAAAGGCAGAAAAGGGATGGATCCAGGAAATGATGAGGAAGGACAAGTGACAGACAATGGGATCAGAGAGAGGAAAAGCAGTCTGCCAGGAGAGGAGGCAAGCTTTAGAATGGCATCCAAGCTCCCCAAGCCCTAGGGCATTCTCTTGTGTGTCCTCAGCCACCTGCCCTGCAATCCTTCAGGGTAGAAACAGCATAAATTGGCTGGGCAGGATTATTGGACTCCTGTTAGGTCAGCAAAGCTCTGGCTTTTCTGTTTGATACTTTGGATTTTCCTGTTAAATTTTTGTTTGAAGAAAGGGTTTTGAGGCTAAAAGAACTAAAAACCATGGTTCTAGAGTTAAGGATGCTGGTACCAACGGGGAGGAGGGAAGGCCTTTGAAACACACAGTGTGGGAGATTAAGACCCAAGAGAAAGTTTTGACAAAAGGGACATGGTGTGACAAAAATGAAATGTGTTGAAAAGCCTCTGCAGCACTGAGGATGGGCAAGTGAAAGGGAAGGAATCCTGGGGACAGGAAACAAAGCTGCACTCGGAGAGGCGACTGTGAGTTGGTCTGAGGGGTAGGCATGGGGGAAGTTGGTCTGAGGGACAACTCTCTCTTGGAAAGTGCCCAGTGGACACACCAGACATGTAAAGTTTAAGGCTCTTGTCGAGACCTGATAATAAATGAAGGTTGGCCAAGCCAGTGACTCAGAGTTGACATCCACAGGCAGTTGGCCCTGGTTGCAGGGTGGAGGGCAATTTCATTTCCAACAGAAAACATAAGCCTATGTGTGGCATTTCAGAGCCGAGTGCTAAGCTGTCTGCGTTGCACAGGTTTCCCTGAGGATCTGACTGGTGTAGGCTTCTTTGTCTGCCCCATAGCATCCAACAGAATGAGCTTTTTTTGATTAAACATTTTAAAGACTTCAGCTTTGGCTGGTGGGCAGCTATTGAAGGTAAGGAAGTTTCTCAGTTGAGATGGGAGAGGCTGCCTCAGTGGCTGGCTGGAGGCCTTGGAGAGGCTAAGGGGACAGTCCTGTTATAAGAACATATAGTGGGACTGGGGTTGTGGCTCAGTGGTAGAGCGCTCACCTAGCACGTGCCAGGCCCTGGGTTTGATCCTCAGCATCACATAACAATAAATAAATAAATAAAGATATTGTGTCCAACTAAAAAATAAATCAATAAATATTTAAAAAAAAGAACATATAGTGAGAGTTGGGGTGAAGCTGGGTGCTGAATGAATGAGTCCACGCATGAGCATGAGGGTCAGAGTTCTGATGACCTCTGTCCTTTGGCACCAGGAAGAAAGGGGCTGCCGCCCTCTGGAACAGAAGCAGCAGTTTCTGTTTGCAATTAGCCAAAGGTCATCTACTATGGGGGCTCAGTTTTGACAGCCTGAATCAATTGCTGAAGATTTCTATAGTTTTAACTCATATGCATGGAAATGGAGTTATACAGCCTCAAAAGAAAAACAGAAAATAAAACAGAGAGAAACTCTGTGTCTCCTCTTCAGTATCTGTTCTTAGCCCTGGGGGTAGGCCAGGGCTTTTGAAATCTACCTGGCTTCCTGCCCCAGGTGCGCCCGCGCACTGGCCAGCCCTGGAGTGCCCAGGCTGCTCTCACTCACGGTTTGCGCAGGATCATCCTCATGTGGGCATCCGGGCCCATCTGCGACAGTAGCAGCATGGTGTCCTGGAGCTCCTCGTCACACTCCTTCTTCTCCTCTTCAGTAGGCAAAGGGGCATCCTCATGCTCGTCATCCAGAAATCGGTAAAATAAATATTTGTCTTGGAAATGGTGTTCCTGGTCCACTGCGGGAAACATGGAGGCGAGTATTAGCCGTGGCACAGAGGTCTGCCGGCAGCCCGTTCACCAGAGCAGACGGGTGGTGTCCAGCAGGAGAGCCAAGTGGCAGCTGAGCCGGACACTCCGCACCCTCGGCACCGGCCTTGCCCAGGCCGTGCAAATGCAGACATGACCTCCTGGTTGCAGTCATGCACACCAGAACCCTCCCCACCCATCCTCTTCTGGGCCTCCGTGGGACTCCCTCTGAGAACCTGCCAACTTTTCTGAGATGAGCACTTTGACTTGCAAAAATTGCCTTGGTGACATTTTCTAGAACATGGGACATATGTCCCGAAGAGGAAAATAACCACTGCCAGATCATGCCCTAGAATGTTTTCTGAAAGTAGACTTAACAAGAAAAACTCCTTTGTCAGATCAGAATTTATGGTTTTCTTTCTATACTATTTATAAACATTTCTGTCAACACTTTGAAAATCAGAAGAAAATTAATTGAGTTATTGTTTGAACAAAACTAGCCAGACCAAACTTCTAGGTCATACACTCCTAGAAGGATTTTGTGATAATTTTCTTCCAGTTCTGATTTTTCAAAGTCCCCTACCCAGTGCATGCTGGGTGGTTGCTCTCCCGCAGAACTACACCCCTAACCTGCCTCTTGTTCTTGTAAACAACAGGATTTAGATCTCTGTAGGACAAAGACAGTAAACTTGGCTCAGCATCCCTCATCTAAATAGCTAAAGCCTTTAGCTTCTTTTCAGGATGTGCAGCAATAGGCTCAAAAGATAAAGAGAAATGGTTGACCCTTGCTGCTCCAGGTGATCAGCTTCAACCTAGCGCATGTTGGAAATGTTGGAAATGCAGATGTTTGGGATCCATCTCAGGCCTGCAAATTCAGAATCTGTCCCAGGTGATAGGTATGCACATTAAAGCATGATAAACACTGGAAAAAACATCATTAGGTTCCCAGCTGTTGGCAAATGAAATGGAGGACTTAAATATTTTATCTGTTGGGAAAAGTGGTCTTAAACAAATGGCATGAGCAGTTCAGTCACAGTTATATACCAGTGAAAACCACTGTAGTTACCAAGGATCACAACTTCAGAGCACATTCCTGATTTTACATATGGTCATCTGTGGATATATAAATTGACTCTCCCAGACAGCAGCACAGTTAAAAGGCAACTTCTGAGTTCATTACTGCTTTCATGTCATCAGCCCAGTCACACATTTCATTGTTCTTCATTCTGCCCCTGTATCAGGATTGCGATGCAATGCTCAGAGTATAATCACACTATCAATGAACTGTGAATGCAAACTAATAAACATAATTGGAACTGATGCACTCGGGTTGCAATTTCATTTTCCTTTCCTTCGTTCTCCAAAGTTAGGAAGGTACAATGGTGGAACACAGCAATCAATAGCTTCCACTCGCTGCATTTGTATTGCTAAATGAAGATGCTAGCTCCATGGTCCCTAAGGGCATCATAATTCTTTCTTGCCCATTGGGAGTTCTGCAACAGCTTGCCCAGGGAAATGCACTTAGCATTTCTTAAGGGTTTTCCAGGGACTGGGGCTTGTCTTACCATGGTTGAGGACACTGTCTTCTAATAGGACTTGCCACATGCCAACAGCTTGAGTCCGGGAGTGAACACAAGGAGTCTGTTGCATCATCCAGTCCACAAGCTCGGTTCCCACACAGCATTGTCTAGAGGAGATGGGAGACAGAAGCTGGAGATGGCTTTCAAGAAGTACCTCCCAAAGAGCAGAGTGCTCTTACCCTCACAGGTCTCCTGGCAAACAAAGCACCACACAGTGTAGCCTCAGGTTCTCAAAGACAGAACCCAATATAACCACTCATCTCACGGGAGAGTCTTCGAAGCTAGGTTGTCTAAATAAAAGCATTATAGTATGCAGCACCAGCAGAGACAACAGGGCCTCTGGAGGGGGAGCATTAGCCCGTGAGCTCATCACAGGACCAGAAACTTGGTCATTATAAGTTGGAAAAATCTCAGAGTACGATGAAGGCAAAACATAGCACTGGCTCCCTTCACCTGAGCCTTGTGGGGAACGAGTTAATGTTTGTGAGGCGCTTGGAGGTGCTCTACGAACGGCACTGTATAAGTGCAAAATTATAAAGCACTTTATATTTTCAAGTAATACTACTGATCTTCCTCTGGATGGGGTGTTGGGAGAAACAAACAATTAGCAATGCAAATCTCTCTGAAAAAAGGTCTGTGTAATGAGCATTAGCACTTGTACAGCAGAATCTGTCATTTAAGAACACCAGATCCTCCCTGGCTTTCTGTATGTTCAAACATTACTTGCTAACATGCTCCTCTGTGAAGAGTTGGTGTGGATGGACAAACTCTCTATTAGTTAGGAAATATGTAATGATACATACATACATTAGGAAATACTGAAACCTTTTGGGGATGAGAGGGTAGGGCAGGTGTTCATGGTATGACGGTTCAAAGGAGAAAATGGAATTCCCAAGTCCTAGGGAAGGATCCCAAGGGACAATGGAACAGTGCAGGAAGTCACAGAGCAGCTGGCTGCCTGAAGCTGGGACTAAGCCATGGGTGGCCTCCCCTCCCAAGCTAAGCTTGGCCCTTCCTCTGGGCATGAGCTGGCACAGGGTCAAGCCCAGAGAGCTTCCCTCTAGTTTAAACTGAAGGAGATTTCTGATGCTGGGCCACTTTAGGAAGAATCTTTAAATTTTTAAAAATTTGTTCTATTTAGATAGACATGACAGTAGAGTGTATTTTGACATATCAAACATACATGGAGTATAACTTCCCACTTTTGTGGCTGTATATGATGTAGAGTTTCACTGGTTGTGTATTCATATATGAACATAAGAAAGTTATGTTTGGTTCATTCTAATGTCTTTCCTGTTCCCACCTCTCTCCCTTCCCTTCATTCTCCTTTGTCCAATCCAATGAACTTCTATTGGGAAGAGTCTTGAACTTGGAGAAGACAATGATATATAGCACCAGGTCGGCTACTCATTAGCTATGTGGCTTTGGCCAGATTTTTGGTTCTTAGTTAGTTTCCTCATCTGTAAAAGAAAGAAGGAGCAGAAGATGGCCTCTGAGGCCTTCTCCAGTTCCCATATTGTAGGATTTCTGGAACCTACCAGAGCTTGTGGGGTACCCTGATTTGGGACTGACCTTGACGCCCAAGGGCTTCACAGGGAGGATGTCTGAGAAGCTTGTGTGATTTCCAGGGCTGCTGTTATTACAGTCTATAGGAGAGATTCAGGGGACCAAGAGGTACCCAGTTCCTACTGGTTCCCAACCAAACATACCACCTGTCAAAATATTCCTCTTATAGTTGGAGTCTTACAAAAGTATAAAAAATCCATTTCATTTGGCTTTTCATTCAATGATTGCTTTTATTGAAAAGAGCAATATGGAATGGAGATCATCCCAGGGCATCTGGATCCTTATAAGGGATTCAGAATCTTGCTGTCAGAATATGGGACAAAGACACACAGCTGTGCCATTTGTAGCTGATGGAGTCGCTGGGTATGCTTTTCATTAATGATCCCTTGCCACTTCAGAATGGATGGCAGATCTCCAGCACTATTAATTTTGCTCTTGTAACATATTCACACCAAATCATGGGGGGGGGGATGTGCAATATTACATCTGGAGAGGCTTCAGCCCCCTAATACTGCAGCATTAATATAATGGAGTGAAGACTAGAGGGAGAGAGGGAAAGGAGCTCAGAAGTACAAGATCCAGGATAAGGAACTCAAACTGAATGGCAGGAAAAAGAAATCATGCCTCTGGCTTCCAGGGGAGTTTACTGGTCATTACTGACAGATCATCAGTTTGTGTCATAGGGTGTGGAACAGGCCTAACACCTATATTTCAGGAGTTTCAACTCTTACTGCTATGGAGCAAGAGGAGATTATGGTTTCTGACTTCTAGTTTCCATTATTTGTCACCAAACATGACATAGTTAATGGAATTTCCCTAACACAAGTCAATATTTGGGAAAGCATAATCATATCTTAAAGAAAAATAATAAAAACTTTAAAGGAAAAAGATCCTTTAGCCTCGTGAAAGTTTGAGATCTACCTAATGAGTTAAAAAAAGTCAAACCCCAGGGACATTAGACATATAAATTTTTTTTAACTTTTACTTTTCTTTAAAATTATAGCAGTGTATAGGAGCCACAGATTCCAAAAAGAATCAGCTTCCAGGGTTAGAGAACAAGACTTGCAAATGGAATCATCCCAAATAGCAGCTATAGTAAAAACCAGAAAAGGTCCTAGATGATCAGTCTGTCCTGAGACATGGAATGCCCCCTAAGAAGAAGGTGCAACATAACACTGAGGTACTTTGCAAATCTCATTTGATTTTCAAAATTCTATCAAGAGGAAGCCAGCCTAAAATGTGACATACTGTCAACTTTGATCTTATAACACATTCACACCAAACGCAAGCAGAAAAATGTTAGTTTGCATGGTGGATAGAAACGAAGATCCAAAGAGTAAGGATTTGCAATATTTTCCCATTTCTGTCCTTGAAAGAGTCTGGAACTTGAGGTGCATGTATGTTGGAGGTTTGTTACAGTGTCAAGCAGGTACAATTTTATAGGTTCTACTGTGGTTGGTTGTCACTATAAAGATACACATCCATGGTACCTTTAAAATTTATATTTCAGATTTTCACTGTGTCCTGTGAATTTGGTTCATATGAATCAAAGGGGTTTTGACTCATGCAAAGGTTAAGGGGTTCTGAAGTCATGTCTAGGCTAAATGGGAAAGAGCCTGACTGATTCAGCTGAAAAAGGACTGTGCCTGAACCACGGAAGCAAGAGTGAAGGTGTATATGCCACATGTGGGCCATTCTATTTCCTAACATTCATTGAACTGATACCATAAAAAGTAAGAGGAGTGAATTCTTAGTTGGCCTACCATAGCTCGGTCATCAGAAAAGTTTCAACTAACCACAGACCTTCAGTTTTCTTTATCTTTCTCATTTCTTGACTCCATTGAGAGTTCTAATAAGGAATCCTTATTCTGATGATAAATATGGTACTCATATGTACATTAGAACGAAATCTTTACAAAATTTGTATTTGTTCTTTTTAGTTATATATGACAGTAGAGTATATTTTGACATATCATACATACATGGAATACAACTTCCCATTCTTATGGTTGAACATGATGTGGAGTTTCATTGGTTATGCATTCATATATGAACATAGGAAAGTTGTGTCCAATTCATAGAATTAAATCTTACATTGGAAAATAAGTTCCATTAAGGGCTTGGGATATTTTGTTCACTGTTGCCTCCTTAGGGCTTAGAATGCAATAGTCTCTTTTCCTCAGGAGGTGCCTAATAAACTTGTGGGATGAATGAATAAACAGATCACTAAATCTGAAAATGAACTTTCAATCCTGGGTCTGCTACTCACTAGACTTGTGACTTGGACAAGGAAATTATTTAATCTCTTTGAGCTGACTCTGTTTTATCATCTGAAATATGGCTTCATAGCAGGTTGTAGTGAGGATGATCTGAGATACCATACAGAAAGAGGCCTGTATAGATCTCTGAGGATAAACATGTACTCAATAACTGTTAGCTGAACGTGACCTAAATTTAATAGGTTTCTAAAAAGACACTAGCAAAGAGAAATGCAAAAATTTTCTTCTCATTGTCCATCAATATCCAAGCAAATTAGTTAAGGAGTAACTGTGTGGAATATTAAAGATAATCTAACACTCATCATTCAGTAGTGATTCAAGACAAACTTAGACCTTTTAGGTCTTGGATACCCCTGGATGGAAAACTGGGAGAGGCCTATTTGTTTCAATTTTACTAGACGTGAATCTGAGGGGCCATGACCTTTATACTTAGCACACTTACCTGTATGTCTTGAGGTGGTATTTCCTATCTCTTATCATGTGAGGGGCTCGAGAGAGGATGGCATTTCGTAAAATTTTTCCAGCCCTGAGGATCTTCTCTGAAGGGACCTGGATTTTAATGAAGTAGAAGGAGGGGAGGAGAAAGAAGGAGAGTTTATAGAAGGAAAACAAACTGGCTGAATCCTTAAATCACTTTCTAATTGGAGTCTGGTAGAAAAACATAACCCACTCATACATATTTACATTGTTCACTGTGACATGTCACTGTGTTATGCTGAGAACTGAGATGCACTGAATATTTATTGTCTCAAAAACGGATCAGAGGTTTCTTGATGTGATGCTCTGACATGTGGACCACCTCCAGTGGTCCTTAAGAAGCGAGCTCAGACGGCTCATCAACCCACCTACATCCCATTACCTTGGTAATGGTGTTAGCAGGACGAAGAGGAACGTGAGGTTCAATGAGAGGTGTCTGAAAAATAAAATGTCAAAGCAAAAGAAAATTAAACAAAAAGTTCAGTAAGGAAAATTATGGGTTGGGGGATAATAAGAAATATCAGGTTTTTTTTTATAAAACTCAAAATAGAATTTAAAAAAAGCAAGAGATAAAAGCTGCCTAAAGGAACTTGAATGCATTGGCATTCAAAGGGCAAAATTAGACCATTCAATTTGCCAACATTTAAATATAAATTATTAAAATGAAAAAAACAAACAAACAGGAATGATTAGATGTTTGTAGGCTTAATGAGAAGGGAATAAATATCCACTCAAAGCATACCAAACATCAGAGCAGGGAAAAGCAAAACAAGATATACATAAACAGAGATTAAAGTGACCTCTCTCGGGGGATGGCAATAAAGTACTGATCTGGGATGGAAATGAGCTATTTCATTCTCTTGCATGTAGTTAAGATTTTTTCAGTGATTTTTATTTGTAGAAAATAAGTTTTTTAATTTTCAAATGTGGCTCCTTGGTAGTTCTACGCCCCCATCTCCTATAGCCCATTGAGGCAGACAGAGTACTTCTCCTTCCTTGACAGGAATCATGCAAGTTTCAGGATTCCATGACTGTCTGAACAACTCTAGGGCTGCAGGAAGCTCTTGTTATTATCTGCATTCTTCAGATGGGGGTGCTGAATTTGAATCCTGGGACAATTTCTTACCAGTCAGCTACACAATTGAGCACCCCCCGCCAGTCTCACCCAAACTCCTTTGCTTTTTCTGTGAAATATCTGGTAATGGCATTTCCAAATGGGAGAAAGATACCTTTAGTGAAAGGAGGTGGAAGAATCACCAGTACAACACTGTTTACCACTTTAGAAGGTAAGATAGCTGTTCACTTCTTATGAGATTTTGGTAGAAAGAACCAGGGCCCTCCAAAGAACCATGACCCCAAAGATGGTCATGTCCTTAGCCCCAGAACCTGTGCATGTTAGGTTATATGGCAAAAGGGACACTATAGGTGTGATTAAGTTAAGGATCAAAATAGGGAGACTGTCCTGGTGTTTCAGGAGAGCTGAATGTAATCATAAGGGTGTTTAAAGACAGAAGAAGGAGTCAGAAGAGTCAGAACCAGAGAGAGCAGGGTGGGGAGGAGTTGGTCCCACTTGGTGGGCTTTGAAGACAGAAGAGGCCAAGAGCCAAGAAATGTAGCAGCCTCTAGAGGACAGAACAGCCAAGCCGACTTCCCTGTGAGCCTCCAGAGGAACAGAGTGTGATGCCATCTTGATTTTTGCCCAGTGAGACCCATTTCAGACTTCTGAACTCAAGCATGATTAGGTTGTTAATTTGTGTTATTTCTATACACTCAATCTGTGGTAATTTGTTATAGCAGTCACAGAAAACTAATATTATACTTTATATTATAATTATTTTAGTATAAAGAATTATTAAAGCCCCTGACTCTTTGCAAATAGAAGCCATTTACAGTGAAAATAAACTGGTAGTTTTCCCTTTACCCCTAAGTTTAAAAATATAATCAATGGGGGAAATTAAGGCCAATATTAGTTTAAAACAATGCATGAACCTAAATATGAATATACATGTATCAACATATATCTTCATTTTTATTAATAATAAATTTCAGGTGGGCTGAAAAAGAGATAAAACACTAAACTTAAAAAAAAAAAACAGCATAGATGAGATGCAGATGTATTTAGAATGGCTGAAATCTCATGGAACTTACCTAAATACTTTTGTCACCCCACTGGTATCTAGTAAACCTTTTCTCCCTTTCTGAAGTCACCATAGCACAAGTGTTAATTACTATAATAGCATTTTAGCAGCACACTGTTTATAACCCACATAGACCAAGGAAGGCCAGTGTGGTCCAATTAACAGTGACTTTAAACAGAGACCAACTTTGCCCTGAAAAAGCCAACTTTGCCCTTAAAGCAGACCTGAGGATAGGAGAGGGATCACAAGCTCGGGAAGTTCCTGTGCTTACACCAAAGCCTCAAAGAATATGGAGAATTCTGTTGACAGCATATCACTTGGGATGACATTCAAATTGCCCACCATCACACACACCAGGGCTTTGGAAATGAGTGGTTAAAGCATGCTGGGTACTTCCCAGCAGAGAGCTCCCAGTTCTCATGGGTTCTGCCTCCACCTTCCACAAGTTGTTTTACATGTCTAGGACCATGCCTGGTTCTGCATCTTAACAGTAAAGGCCTCTGGTTATTCTTAAAAACAATAGTAAAAGCCCATTTCTCTTCCTGTCTTGGAGGAAAGAAGTATCGGTGTGGGCTTAGCTTCCCAGGTCACCTTTTCTTTCCTATGAAAAACTGACTTTCTTTTACAGTGGTCTTTGAGAGGCAGGTAAGCTTGGGGCCCAGAGGATGCTCGTGCTTAAGGACAGTTGATAAATATTTGCCGGCGGACTCAATAAAACATTTTTTGAAGATGACATCTTTTCATTTCTATAGAGATGGCTGTATTTTAACAAAATGCTAATGAGTTGTCCCCAGGTTAGTTTATTTTGTGGGAGAGCTCCCTTTTTAGTTCCTTGGAACCTTGAAAAGAAAGTACTACTAAAGCTGTGGAAACATCAAGCTTCAACCAGAATTTTCCTTTTGATCTGCAACTTCTAAAGACATAAAATGTACACAAGGTTGTCTTTTAGCTAGACAATTGTAGTTCAGATCCAGGACCAAGAAGCTGTTTAATCTGTTGAAAGGCAGTGTTCTCAGAACCTTCTCAAGCTCAAGCATTTTAGGCTTAGGGGCGACACTATGAATGGATGCTTTGAGGAGGAGCTGCCCCTTTATTTAAATAAAACCTCCAAGGGACACATCAGGTGAAAGCAGGGAAAGTGTTGTTTTGAGGAAATGGGAATCTGTCTTTGAAAGGGACAGTACATTCAGTTCGGCAACCTCCTACCGTTCTAACAAACACACTGGGTACCCAACAGCTGTGTGTTCTGAGACAGCATTTGTGACAGGCAGCTGGGTCCGTTGGAAATCATCACTGGCCAATGCCTGTTCAGGGACCTCTCTTGCTTTTGGATCCATTTGTTTATTTCCTTTTTGTTTTCCTTTAGCTTTCATTTGAGAATTTCACTTTAGCTGTGTTATTGAGAAATAAGGACACTAATTTCATTTTATAAATGACTAGGTTAAACAGAAGAAGGAAAGACAAAACATGGTGAGATTAGTAGAACTCAAGTGAGAAACTCGCACCATGCACCATGATCCTTTGTCTGTGCTATCTCCTTATTTTATTATTATTACTGAGAAAACTACAACCCCAGACATGTAGGGACTGGTCTGAGCTTACACAGCAAAAAACTGAAATTGCTGAGTGTCAAATCCAGGCTTAGCTCATTCTAGTGTTTACACTGCAGGTACAACTACCCCATCTCACCTGTCCTTTTCCTCTAGAGACATCTTGGCTCATTGTTTGAAAGAGTTAAAGTGCACCGAGAAAAGTGCATCTAAGTTCTTCCAGGTTATCAGGCATCAGACGTGATCTTAGGAATTTCCAGCAATAAAAATTTCTATGGAGTGCTGGAGTTGTAGCTCAGGGATAGAGCACTTACCTAGCACATGTGAGAGGCACTGGGTTTGATCCTCAGCACCACATTAAAAAAAATAAAATAAAGGTATTGTTGTCTATCTACAACTAAAAATATTTTAAAAAATGTTTCTAATGATCTCCTGAGATTCCACACTGGCATCATGCATCATGCTTGGTCATGAACAACTTTTTAAAAAGCAACTTCACAATAATGAAATATTTAGCATTGAGGGGCTGTTGCATCAGGGCTAAAATAAATATACCAAGGAGAGGGACAGCAGTAGAGTCCACCTGGGAAAATGGAAGCCAGTTGGAGGACTGATCACATAAGGAATTAAAGGTTAGGAAGTAGTTTACAGGTGATGGAACAGTCGGGAAGTCAGACAGCTCTGAGTTGACCCTGACATTCGTTAAGCAGGAAGCCCTTGGGAACAAAGATAGAGAGAGGAAGAAGCAGTTCCAGGGCTTAAGCCAGGTGTTCTAGCGGACACTGGCGATGCTGCCACCCTCCCACGGCCAAGAGGGAGGTGAGACCTTCCTGTGTCCAATTTCCCTCCAGCCAGAATCAGAGAAATAGGAAAAAATAATTTTATTTTATAAATGATCAGGTTAAACAGAAGAGAGAAACAAGAAGTATGATGACATCAGTGAGAATCAAAGCAAGTAAACCAACCAAAAGGCAAAACCAAGGACAGGGGAACCCAGGAAACACGTTCCAGAGGCCAGTCCTCTTGCAGTGCACAGCAGAGCACAGGAGGGGCAAGGAAGAGCTCTAAGGGTCAGGCCCTGCACAGCACAGCAGGGTTGCAGCAGCCACAGCCTGGGCAGGGGCTCCCACCTGCAGAACCCCAGCTTGCTGCCCCATATCCTCCAGGGATGTCTCCTGTTGGCTATAGGCAAGGGAGGCAGGTGGAGCTTGGATGGGGGCCATTCGAGAGCAGGGGCTTCATTAGTGATTGTCTGTTTCCTAGACCTACCTCCGGATTTGACCTATAGCCAGAATGCACAAAATCACAAAGAGCCCTACAAGCAATGGATCCCTCTCCGATTAAATTTCATACATTTCAACACATCAATCATGTGTTGATAAAAAATTTTCCTTCCTACCTGGGCTTGAAAGAATCCAAACTGGGCTGTGAAAATGTGATCCTAAAAGCTAGGCAGGGAGGACAGATAAAGGCAGAGGCATTCAGCTCTCGCTCGGCTTTTCTTGGCCGCCTCCTCTGAAGACTTCCCTCAGGATTGACCGTAATTGGTTTTTGTTTGTTTCTGGAAAGGGGATGCTCTTTCTACTGCTTTTTATTATGTTTATATTACTACTGAAAGGGAGAAACAGGAAGGGAAAATATTCCTTTTGGCACCAGAGCCAATTCAGAAATACTAATCAGGTGATGGAAAATATGAATTTAGCCTGCATTACAAGATGCACAATAACTCCCCAGCAGATTATAATGAG